ATTCTGCACTTAACGATCTATTAACTTAAACTTATTTCACATTGCTTCCCTAATTTGATATTTCATCCTACATAAAAGATCTTGGCAAAATCCTAATATACGGTGCAACCTTGGCACGATTTTGAAAATTATTGCCAACACCAAAATGACCCATTTAACTACTTATCGTATATATCCCGTTTACTGATGATCATAAATCGCCTAAAGTAGCCAAATCCCTTGTGCACCATATACTAGGATTAAACCAAGATCTTTTAAAATTTATTTGAATTCATACTTATCAAGTAATTTAGCCTTATCACCTTATTTTACATTTATTTTGTCTGTCTGTATGTACAGATGTCACACAGAAAAATCTAACGATTGATTTCAGGAGTGCCCCCCCCCCCAAAAAAAAGAGATTTTCGTTGAAATATTATACCCAAAATTTTTTGCAATTACAGTAGTTCTTTTACTTTGTACAGTGAGGTTAAAAAAAGTAAAATAACCTGTAAAGAAAGTGGGTATCCGAAGTGAAATTGCAGCTCCTCATTCAAACAGTGAAACTAAGAAATTTCTGAAGAAATGAAAATTAATGTAGAAAATTATTTATGTTACATTTATCATTGGAGGCGTAGGTTTGACTATTGAATATGACAAGGTATATGAGAGTTTACCTGTTAGGATGGGCGATTATCATGGAGCATTTTTGAATGGAAACTGGTTCATATTTGCATTACATGTGGCAATCATAATACAGTCGAAAGTTGTTAATCCGGACTCGTCGGGACTTCGGCGATTCCGGATTATCGATTTTTCCGGATTATAGATCATCAGTTTAAATCAGGAAGATGGCATGCAAAAATCACAAAATTAAAAATATGAAACCGTAATTTATGAAATAAAGAACAATTATGATCTAAAGGGTATCAAAATTTACAAAAGAAAAAGCTCAATATTATTTGGTTTACTTTATTAAACATTTCCTTCAATGTAAGTTGCTTCGTTTCATGTGATAATACTTTCTCTTTAATTCTATTAAACAGACATAATTTCTTGTTTACTTACAAAGTTCCGCTGTTCAAGTCCTATAATTGCTGTGTTGAGAATACCGACTAATTTGTCAATCGAAATGTTTTCGTTTTCACTAACCTCTGTCACTTTGTCACTCTGTCACCTTGTCGCTATCGGAAGCGAATTATAATGACGAGGAACTTGATTTAAATCATATCAAAGACAGAATGAAATACTACACTTAGTATGGAATTATAAACCAAATAAAATAAAAACATCTGCCCTGAAGATAAGGATAGTGCTGACAAATCACCTTCCAATCCGCGGCATGAAATTGATAAACAGATTTCGGATCTCAAAACATACTTTCGCTTTGTAGATACAAATTACATATTAGTAAATATATATGGGAAATTCTATTTGACATAATCTTTCTAATCTATCATAATCTAATAATGACGTTTCTGCCCCCCCCCTCTGCCGCAGAGCAGCGTGAAATTGATAAACGGATTTCGGATTTCAAAACATACTTTCGCTTTGTAGTAAATATATATCGGAAATTCTATTTGACATAATCGAAAGTTCAAGCTTACTTTTATAAAATTGCTCTAACAGTCTGCAAAAAATAATAAGCCGGATCCAATTCGAAGATTAAGGAACAACGCAATCGGCAACATTAACTGAATTAGATAACTTTAGCTTAGCGTATAACTCCGTTACAATTTAAAACGCGCATGGCGCACAAACATATTCGCAGCCGTAAGGGTCTTACGCGCTCTCGTAACGCCTGTTGCGCTAATGCGTGAACGCATGCGCATGCGCAGAAAGTTTGTAGCTTTGAGGTCCGGATTATAGATCATTCCGGATTATGGGTGTCCGAATTAACGACTTTTGACTGTACATATATTTAAATAGCTGGCTACTCCATCAGTCAGTTATTTTCATTTGCTTCATCTTGAATATAAAGTAGTGAAACTGGTAGGGTATGAGAGAACTTCTTTTGAAACAAGCTAATTTTTATGTAGTCTGCTTTTAAAATACATAGAAATAGAAAACGTACATGTTGTCAAAAATGTTTTACCCAAAATATAATTTATCCATTTAGGAAGGAAGTAAAAGAAATAATACAGCAATCGAAATTTCACATATTACTGATACTTTTAAAATTTACTGACTTTAGTTTTCTCAATTAATCAGCTTTATAAAATAGAAAGTATTAATTAATAATTCAAGTTTTGAAAAATTAAATGTAACTTTGAAAATTTTATTTCAACAGTGTCAGTCATAGTTAGCACAACAGAGTGATAATGGAACTTAAACTGAATAATATTTGCATCTATGAAATTAAAATGACAAAATAAAATACATACATTAGGCATGACATTTCAAAATTCAGAGAATAAAATACAGGGTTTCATGCTGCTAATATTTTATATCCCTGATGCCAAACTGGCAAATCATTATTATATTTAGCTTTTATCACCGCATGTTTATCAACAAATGATAACTTGAGTAGTTATTCATGCAGCGATGCCTAAATAATTTTTTTATACTGGTAATTGAATAGCAAAGTGTATGGTAATCTTTTATGTTGATATTACTCTTGGTGATGATTACAGATTTAAGTTAGATGCGCTAAGAAATGTTGATGAGGAAAAATTTAACAAAAATTTGTTTTCATATGCTAAAAAAGATTTTGTTAATGATATGCATAGGTCAAAAGGTTATATTTAGTTCTCTTTGAATTAAGACTAAATGATTTGTTATTCACATAAACGCAGAATTGGCACGCAGTATGGCCACATCGGGAGGCAAAATTTAGGAAAGAAAAATTTTTGGAATTTAGAAAAGCACCGAGCAACAAAATTAAGGGATGACAAAATTTTTAGAATTTAGGAAAAGCATTAGGACTCAAAATTTAGGGGCGGCAAAAATTTAGAACTTAGGGAGGCACTTGGTTACCAAATTTAGGACTCCCAGAGACTGCACCAGGGATAAGATATCTACTGCTGGCCCTCGATAAGGCTTAGGTATATATGCAAATTTATTTATTGAAGATGCCAATAAGCTTTAAGCATGTGCAAGAAATAGAGATAAGTATAATAAACAAATAAATTAACACATTTCAGGCTTAACTGCTTCATTGTGCTATAGAAGCAAGACAAAATGTAGTGGAAGAACTTGAATTTTGTCGCCAGTCTCATGATACATAGCCAGCGAATGGTATTAAGCAAAGCTAAAATTATATTTTACTGATTCCAAGGAATTTCAGTTAATATAGCAGATTGCCCTGTTGCTTAACTTTTTGATTTGGTCCAGCTTAATATTTTTCCCCAGGCTTTTATTATTACAGCAATTTTATGAAAATGTTTTGAACTCTGGATTATGTCAAAAAGAGTTTCTAATTCTGAAGCTGCAAAGTTAAATTGCTTGAATTGTTAAATGTCCATAAAACAAAAAGTGGATAAAGGTATATCTGTCTCAAAATTATGCCTGGACTATGGCAATGGAAAATCAACTGTATATGTCATTAGAAAGCAGAAAAATAAATTTTTTGCAATTTCCACACTCAACTCGCAATGAATAACAAAAAATATTCGTTGTGCTAGAAATGATGGTCATGGCAAAGTGATGATTGAATGGATCAGGGCGTGCCATTGTATGGTTCCAATGCTAATGCCTCAAGCCAGATTATTTCATGAAGAAATGAACTTAAAAACTGAGGACACATATTCGTCAGGCTGTCTAGTCAAATTTAAAAGTCACCGTGGTATAAGGCAATTAAAAATTTCACTTGGAAAAGCTTCAGCTGACATTGAAACTGCTGAACTATTTGCAGATGAATTCATTGAACTCGCTAATAGTGAAAAGTTATCTCCAGAACAAATTTACAACACTGATGAAACTGGTCTTTTCTGGTAATATGTACTGTAAAACACCTTGGCAACCTCTAGAAAAAAAGCTCCAACTGGTGGTAAAGATTCCAAAGCAAGACTAACTGTTTTAGCATGCACAAATGCTGCAGAAACGCACAAGTGTGAACTTTTCATAATCGGGAAAAATACACGACCTTGAGCATTTAGACGAGTAAATATTTTCCCTGTTATATATTGTGCAAATGAAACAGCCTGGATGACAGAAGCGTTAATGAATGGTTTGTTTGAAAATCATCTCATATACGAGGCTTGGCAACATTTGAATTTGATTGGTTTAGCTGGTAACATAAGAATTGTCGTGATTGTAGATGACTGTAATGGCTCATACTTCACTTAGTTTTAGTAAAAGATAATGTAATAATACAGATGTATTATTCTTTCTTCCAAATTATATGTGCATCATTCAACCTATCGTTATCGTAAATATTGCATGCGCTGAAATGCAAACATAAAGTGGCATTTTTAAAGTCCATGTTAAATTTCTTGAATAATGGCAAGAGTGTTCAAGAATTTTTGAAATATTTTAGCATAAAACCTGCTGTGAGGAGATTTTATGTTAAAATATTTGAATTATTGTATGAAATAATATTAAAAATATGAATAGCAACCACATTTATGTAATACAGAAGTTATATTTTTAGTATTCTTTCTTACCTATTTATTTATATTGCAGATGAAAATGTTATTACATTGTAATTAAAATTACGGTTTGTATATTATTTCTGTGTCTATAATTTTAACTGTAGATTTGTCATGTTTTTATATTAGTTTCCTAATTTTTTGGTATAATATTTTATAAAAAAAAAATTTCTGGAGGTTTAATTAATATTAAATGTTTGTGCATATTGATTTCTTCTGATTTACACATACTGAAAAAATTGATTTAATAGTACTTCCAGTGAAAATCTGCTATTTAGAATGATTTCAAGTATTCCTTAAAAAAAAAGCAGGCATCTTCTTATGTCACTATATTTTGAAGTCTTGATAGGTTACTTAGTTTTAGTAAAGATTGGTATCATTTCTCCACCTTGTGTTTTTGGTATGTATTTAATAGTCTAATACTTCTTTCAGAATGTTCAAGTGAAGACAACTGAGATGGCAAGACCTATAGTGGATTTATTTCACTCGATGGTGACACAGGACAATTTTTCAGAAGCTATTGATTTTGTTGCAGGATGTTATTATCAGGTCCCAGATTTTTCAGTACTAAGAAGTATCATATTTAAAATCATGTGGGTAAGTTTTAAATCTTATTTTTGCATTTGATTAGTTTCAGTGGCACGTTTATGTTGCCCTGATCTAATTATTATCCTGGAACTTGGCATACACTTTTCTGGCAACTGGAATTAAGTGATAGGCATTTTCACTATAATCCTTTACATAAATTTGTTACCATCTAATGTTATGAACGGAGACAAAAGTGAAAACATCATCTGAATTAACATATATTTATTAAGTACACACACAAAAAAAAGGTAAAAATATACATAGTAAAGGAACTACAGCAACAACAATTACAACTGTTGCCAGGAGGAAAAAAGTAAAAAAAATCCATGTTGCCATACAGGTTGCAAAAATATAATGAGAAATATAATCACAAATATAAAAATTATTTGCAACACTCCCCCTTGATTAAATTTCCCTTAGTCCTACACTGAACCGTTTGGTTATACAAGGATTTCTTTTGCACACTCTTAGTCAACATGTCTGCTGCATTTGAACTGAAAGGGCACATAGAAGTTGAACAACTTTTCTTCAACTTTCTGTCTTAAGGGGGAAAAAAAAAAAAAAAAAAATACCTGAGTTCAATTTGTTTGCTATGCTCTGAAGTAACATGTTTTTTAGCTAAAGAAATGGCATCCTGATTATCAACAAATATGTTTTGTGGAAAGTTAAAAACAAGTTCTCCCATAATTTCTTGCAGAACGTTTTGGAATCGCAACACTTCCTTGGCTGTGTGGCACATCGGAAAGTACTCGCCTTTAACTAATGACAAGGCAGTTGTAGTTTTCTGTTGCTTGTTACTGTTCCACGAAACAGCTCCACCTGCTGGTAATAGAACATGGCCACTCAATGAACGTCTATTGATCTTATTACCAGACCAATCGGAATCACAGAACACTTTCCAGTTTTAATTCTTTAGTCTGTTTTACGTAATGATGAATATGTTGTATGCCAGCCCAATGTTCCTTGCTAGGACAATTATTGAACTGGCTGATGTAAGTGGTAGCAAAGGCTAAATTAAAATCATGTTCTTCCTGCCAGGTACAAAATTCCTCCAGCATCTTGCCTATATTTTAGTGCTCCTTCAGCATCCAACATATTATCCTTAATGGCTGGTGTGTATTTCATGTTGAAGTTGTTTATGTTACAAAAGAAAAAATAAGGTACTGTAATTTTTATTATATATATTTGTTTGGCGACATCTCAAAATGTACTTCAACTTCTGCTTTGAGAAGCTCAGTTGAGCGATTTGTTGTTGACTTTCATATAACTTGTATTTATAAACGTTTAGTAAGATTCTTCTTCAGTTTTAGCATATTTAATCTTAAAATGCAATAGGTTATGGGTTTAGTGCATGCTACATGCACAAAAATGATAGTAGAGTTTTATTTTTAATGCAGAAATTTTTATAATGTTAAGAGAGTAGCGTTAACCCTAACCACGCGATCCGCAAGAACGGCAAAGATTTTTCTTTTATTCAAGTCCTGAAATCATATTTTGTTTAAAGAAAGCCCTAAAGGGAAGTATTTGATTGAAGTGGAGTAAATATTCAAGTGTTCATTGTTTTTTCGTCAAAAGTGAAGAATGTTACAGAAATGCTAAGAGTAAATAATGGAGGTAGGAAAGTTGCATTAAGTGGAGAATTGGATTGGCTGATGTGGAAGTATAGAATCAAGTTCACTTTAAACTATTATAACGACTCTTTGGAAGTTGTTGAAGGAAAAATAGTTAAACCAGATCAGCCACTTGAAGGAGCTGTTGAAGGAACTTTGAAGAAATACTCTGATATTTCACGATATAAAAAGGCCAACACTTGTGCCATGTTGATACTGAAAAATTCTATGACAGAAGAAACCATGCAGAAAATTATGATGTTTGGTATTGCTAGAGAGGTATGGCTAGAACTTCATAAACTTTTTGAAGCAACATCTGACAATCATTTATATAATATTTGTGTACAATTTTTCCAGTGTATGTGGACAATGAATGATACTATGGCTGCCCATCTATCAAAGCTGAAGAATCTTTGGAATGAATTAAATTTAGGTCTTCAAAGAAATCAAGAAACCCAACTGCCTCAGATGTTATTAATTTGCAAAATTTACGCACATTACCTCAAGAGTATCGTTCTTTTAAGTCAAGTTGGCTGCTTCTTAATGAAGGGAAAAGAATAATTGATGAGTTAACTACTCAATTTTGCTCTCAAGAAAGAGAATATAAAGAAGAAAAATCTAAAGGTGATGTCCAAAATCAAGATGCATTAGAAGCTAAAGCAAGCAAAACAAAAAGAAATTTCAAAGGTAAAAAGCAGATAGGAAAATGCAACTATTGCCAACAGAGTGGACATTGGATTAAATTTTGTCGAAAATGGATAGAAGATGGAAGACCACCGAAACCCAGTCAAAATGATAAAGTCTCAAGAAAAGATGGTATGTTATAGCAAATATGTCCTTATTAGCTCTAGACGAAGAAGCTTTCTCATCTGAAAAGAATTGCTATGACTGGTTTGTGGATAATGGTGCTTCAAAGCACATTACCAATAATAGTGATTACTTCACAGAATTTGAAAAATTTGAAACACCACATGGAATTACTGCTGCAAATGGCAAAATACTACCAGCTGTAGGTAAAGGAACTTTGAAGATTATGACAACAATAAAAGGAGAAAAACAATTCAAAGAACTTAAAGAAGTTTGGTTTGTTCCAGGTATTAGTAAGAACTTATTCTCCATACTGGCTGCTCAAGATAAAAACAAAAATAGTAGATTTGAATCAACTGCAGAAGAATGTTGGTTGAAAATCAAGATAAAAACAAAAATAGTAGATTTGAATCAACTGCAGAAGAATGTTGGTTAAAAGTTGTACTCTATGGTACAAAGAAGCATAAGTGGATGGTCTGTATAATAATTCATATGGAAGTACTTGTTCCTGAATAACCCAGTAGAAGTCAACATAGCTGTAAGTTAGTGATTCAAACTCTGCAGTTATATCATGAGCACTGGGGTCATCAGGACAAACGTCATATTAAGAATGTCCTTGAAGAACAGATGGGTATCAGGGCTAAACTAGATAATCAACTATGCGAACCCTGTATATATGGGAAAACACATAGTCTAAAATTTGGTAACAGAGAGAAGAAAACAAAGCCCGAAGAACTTATCTCAGTGGATGTTTGCGGACCGTTTGACGAATCCTTCAAAAGGTATCGTTATTTTGTAGTCTTATCATTTCACCAAATTTAGCTATGTGTTTTTCATTCACCATAAATCAGAAGTTGTAGAAGCAGTTGAAAATATGCTAGCACATGCAAAAAACTTAGGAGGACATACCATCAAAGAGTTGTTAAGCGACAATGGTGGTGAGTTTGATAATGAAAATGTTAGGCTTATTTTAAGACAAAATGGAATTCTTCAAAGATTAACTGCCCCCTATACCCCACAGTAAAACGGTGGGAGTGAGCGAGAAAACAGAACCTTTGTAAAAATAGCAAGAACTTTGAAGAATTCTAATTCTGAAGTTAATTTTCCCTCATCATTATGGGCTGAATTTATTAGTACATCTGTCTATATTTTAAACAGAACAGGGAAATGTTCATTATCAAATGTAAGTCCTTACGAATCTTGGATGGGACAAAAACCTAGAATAAGACATATGCGTATAGTTGGATCCACCTGTTTTGCTCACATACCAGATCAGAGATGCAGAAAAATGGATAAGAAAGCCGTAAAGGGCTACCTACTAGGATATGGTGGAAATGAACGATATTGCATCTGGATAAAAGAAAACAGTACTGTTATCTGCTCATGAGATGTAGTATTTCAAGAAAAACCTCTGAAAAATCCAGTAGAAATACCTTTACCTGAAGCTGAAAATGAGGGGAAGCAAGATCAAGAAGATTCAGAAGATCAAACAAGTTCTGAAAGTGAAAATGAAGATGAAAAAGAATCACCTGCTATGAACTTAAGAAAGCACAGTGCAATAAAAAGGCCTAAACATTCTGAAGATTATGTAATGGCATCTGAAGTTTTTATGTGTGATATGTATGAACCCCAGTCATACAAAAGAAGCCATTAACCCGGCGTTAACTCGCGCTAATCGTACGTACGCAAGTGCTCGCGCCATGCCTGCGAGGCTCGTTTATGGATTTATATTTTATGCAGGTCATTAAACACCCCATTAAGCATTTACTAACAACATAATTTAAGACAATATTTAGAGCTCTAATTTTATTCAATATAGGTATAGAATTTTTTAAAAACACTTACCAAATTTTATGTACAATTGGTACATGTTAAAACAGAATGATCTCCACAGACATTTCTTTCACATTTTGTACATATTATCTTAGATTTTCGGTCGTTTGAACTTGGGTAAATATAGCACATTTTTCTCTCAATTTCTTTGTTTTTTAGCAGCTGGTTCTTTGTTCTTGGGAGATAGTTTTTCTTGCAAATGTCGAGGGAGACATGGTACAGTGCACCTCTCCGCTGTGTAGTCTTTCAGCAAATCTGTTGCAAGATCTCTCAAACACTGACTCTGCTTTCTGTACTGTAAGGATGGATATTTCGAGCATTGGAGTAATACTCGAGCATTGATTGCAGCAGTATTTAGCAGTGTAAAGAACAGAACCATTGGCCATCTTTTGCTGATTCTTGCAGTTGAATACGCTGCTGACATTTGGTCCACCACATCAACAGCTCCTTTCGTCAAATTATAAAATGTTATTATTTCATGTTTTTTTGCCTCACCTGTTGTTTGGTCAATAGCATCGTCTCTATGCATTGTAGATAAGAGGTTAAAAAAATTTTTTTTAGGAACATATGACACTAAAGTCATGTCTTTCTGGAATGCAAACAGGGAGGAATGCACCTTATGATTTTTACTGTTCACAAACTCTTTTGGTATTTCCCTCTTGTTCTTTCTTATGGTGCCCACTAGAGTAATGTTTTTCTAAAGGAGATATTTTGCAAGTTCATAACTAGTATACCTATTGTCGACTGTTACATTTCTCC